CCCCGCCGCCCCGTGGGAGGGCAGTTTGGCTTATTTATGTATTGGAAGGGTTGGGATTAAAGGGAAGTGGTGGGTGATGCAGGCGGTACCTGCCCTGGCCAAGCATTGGAGACGCTGCTCGGGGGCGCTGCCCGCTCCGCGCTGCCCCGCGTTAACCCCGTGTCTTTCCCTTAGGCTCCAGCCCAGTTTGGTGCAGCCTTGGCAGAGACCAACAAGGAGAGGGAGCTCCATTGTGAGTGCTGTTTGCGTATCTGTTTCTGCCTCTGCTAGACCTGCTTAGGGAGATCTTGACCCACCCACCCTTATTCTCCGGGGGCAGAGGTAGAAGGAGGGGCCTCCAGGCTTGGGTGGGGAAATTCCTGGGTCCAGCAGCTGCTGCCCTGGGGCGAAGCCCCGGTAATGGCTGTGAGGCGGCTCCTCCTTGGGGTGGGCGCTGCTGCTGCAAGACATCGCTCCTGCAATACCCACTCCGGCAGGCAGACGGGCTGCTGTCGCTGCTCACGTTACCCGGCTCGGGAGGGAGGGGGAGGGCATATCTCGGCTGCCCTCTAGAGTTCTACAGCGGGTGTTAAAAACCATGGCGAGACACCTCTAGCCATCTTGAATTCCCCCCCCCCTTTTTTCCAGTCCCATGTCCTGCCTACCTTGAAGGTGAGAAGGGGAATGAGAGATTGGAAATAACCCAGCAATTTGCAGAGCGTGCTCCAGCGTCTCTTCCTTTGTGTGTTTACGCTGGTTCTTTGCACCCGCAGATTTGCTTGGGTGACTTTGTTGGGTGCCATTGGCAGTTGTGAACCGTGGTGAAGCTTCTGAACCATCTGCTTCTCCCCTTCCCCACCAGGCTGGAGATCACTGAGGAAACCCACAGATTCTTAATAGTGAACATTTTCAGTGTTTCATCTGTGTGGGTTTTTCCAAGTGGGATTGTCATCTCTGTTGGGTGTTGGGTTGGCTGAAGAGAGGCTGAATTCCAATCCCGGTCCGGAGGATTGGGGTGTAGTTTTAACTCTTGTTTGTGCCGCTTTTAATAATGGGTGTTTTTTGCTGCAATAATGGGTGGGTTTTGCTGCGCTGGGGATTTTCAAATCGCGAAGCAGCACAGTGGAGAAAGTGAGGCAGGGAGAGCACGTGGGGAGAGGAGGTGGGAGCTGAGGCCCTGGGCTGAGGCCTCCCGGCCTCCCGGCCTCCCTTCCTCCTCGGGACTCGGTCTCCCTTCCTCCCTCCCTCCTCTCCTCCTGCCGTGGGCCTCTGCTGGGGAGCGTGGGGCCCGGGAACTGAACAAAAAGGCCGCGTCAGCCCTGCCCTCTGGGGTCTTCACTTGGGGACAGGGGTGCTCTGGTGCTGTAGTTTTCTCCACCATTTGTATCTTAAAATATTTTTTTTGTCTTTTTTTTTTCCCTTACCATTCTATGTAGTAGATTCCCGAGTTTGCAGAGCTTGCAACTTTCTTTGTCACTTTTTGGGTGGCTTACGTATACAAAGAATAAGTGGTTTTCTGCAAAACCTCACTGCTTAGGAGGAAGGCATTGGATTTGGATTAATTCTGAGCTTCTAAAATTACCAACCTCTTGAAAGACACTAAGAGTTCATGGCACTGTTATTAACAAAGTGGTTTGTTCTAACCCTTGGCTTACTACTGTAATATATACATTTTAATTGTAATTTTTTAACTCTTACTGTATCTTGGATGTAACTACCTTCTAATTTTATTTCTGATACATTATACATTCCAGTCTAATAGCTGTTCTATTTTTTTTTATTTTTTTTTTGCTTCTTCATATTAAAAAAGTTACTTCTAAAAGTGATCAAGGCAAATAGTGCTTTGTAAGGAGGAAGGCTGTTGTGCTGAGAGTGAAAAAGGATCTTGTGCACTGGAGCTGATTTGAAAAAAATATTGCAGCTTTATGTTGCTGCCTATGAAAAGATGAGAATACTGCCAAGAACAGCTGTATAGCTAAGATTCAGTAAACCTCGATAAAGAGTTGCCAGCTGGTTTGTGAATTACACTAACATCTTGCACAAAAGCATCGTACTAGATGGCACGTGGTTCTCCTCCAGCTGTGATGGTAGTGGTACAGCCTTTTCTCTGTCGTGTGACTGGAGGTAAAAAGTGTATCCTGTGGCACATGGTAGGCCAGGCTCTTGGGTGAGGGAATGTGTTCAGTGCTTAGTGCTCCAAGGTCAGCTCTAGGAACCAAACCCTTCAGCCACAGTTTGAAGAATAAAGGTGATGACACATTATTAGGTAGTTAAACTAAATAACTTGTTTTAATAAAAGACTGTTTTAATCAGAGTATCTAATACATTTACTTCATATTGTTACTAAACCACTTTGGCCCCAAATATGTGATTGTATCTACTGTTGCTTACCCTGGCTAATAATAATGCAAGTGAAAAAGTGAAAGCAAGTTTCTTTGCCTTCTACAGATCTGGTTCAAGTATATTGAGAGATGTTGGACCAAAGCTGGTACAACCTCTTTCAGATTTTTGCTGATTTTCTTTTTTTTTTTTGGTCCAGCATCATCATGAGCAGTCCTGCATTTTACAGTACCTTTCATTTTGCTTTTGAGAACTAAATACAGAATTACTGAAGTTCTGTCATACTGTGTCCGAGTCTGTAACCCATTGATATACTCTGTAACAAAAGCAGAATGAGGGGTTCTCTGAAGAATTTATATCAAGTATTGTTACTAATGGAGAATCTACTGTTCATGGAGCACTGTTTGTTTGGTTTTTCTTTTCAGAAGATGTGTCCATCACAAATAAATACGAACTCAACCTAGCTGTAGAAAGGGATTGAAATTTGTAGTTCAGGATACTAGTAAAGTCCCTTCTGAGAAGGCTGAGGTAATACTTGCCTTACAAGGCCCTTAAAACTCTGTATGCTACAGGAGTTGGTTTTCTGCTGACATTGAGTTTAACTCAACTGCTGAAAGTCACAATCATAGAATAATTAAGGTTGAAAAGGACCTTAAAGATCAAGTTCCAACCTCCCTCCTATGAGCAAGGACATCTCCCACTAGACCAGGCTAAAAGACAATTAGCATGGCAAATGCTGAAATTAGTCCACAACCACAACCTTTTGTTCAATAGAAGTTAATTGCCATAATTTATGCTTAGTTCAGTAATTGTGAAAAGCTGCATGTTCATAGAATCATAGAGTGGTTAAGGTTGGAGGGGATCTTAAAGATCATGAGGTTCCAACCTCCCTGCTATGAGCAGGGACACCTAACACTAGACCAGGCTGCACAAGCCTCATCCAACCTGGCCTTGAACACCTCCAGGGAGGGAGCATCAACAACTTCCCTGGGCAACCTATTCCAGGGCCTTACTACCCTCATGGTGAAAAGCCCCTCCCCAGCTTTCCTGTAGGCCCCTTCAGGTACTGGAAGGCCACTGTAAGGTCTCTCTAGAGCCTTCTCTTCAGGCTGTTGTATGTCTGTATGGATGAGAACATCAACAGTTGCTCTGCATGAGATCAATGACTGTCCTTTATAGACACGTTAGATCATAACCGTCCACTGAGGGATTCTTACACCTTCACTTAAAGTATCTTGTGGATTGGACATGTCAATGACCAAAGTTGTTTTCTTACCCCAGTTAGCTATCAGAGCAAAATTATTTTAGTCAATGGCTATAACACTGATGACAAATTCAGATTTTAGTAGTCCGACATAGTTAAATTTAACAGAGCTTACTGAATTTTGTGATCAGTGGAGAGCCTCCAGTGACATGATTGCTACCAGGGTATTTTTCAAACTATTCTGTGTTTGAAAGGTGTTTACACTTGTATGTTTGTCCTGGTGTTTAAGCCCTCCATCTTTCTTTGTCTTTCCCAAGTTTTTTGGAGCTACCTTCACCATTACTTCCTTCTCTGCCCCTTCCACCATCAGCCACTGGAGAATAATCTCATGGGGATGGCAGGAATTCATCACTGAGGCAGGGGTGCAGAAGCAAGTGTTCAGTGCTCTGAACAGAGTAGCTGCAGTAATGGTTTGAAATGTACTCAGGTGTAACTGGTCCTTTTCCCAGCCATATGGAGTGTCAGTAGCACAAGAGGGTTGTGGTGTTTTTCATTTGCTTTCTTTAAGTTTGTCTGTTACGGAGACTACTTAATTATGCATGGCTGTTGTGCAGAAATCATTGTTTTGGAGTGCTTAACACTTAATATGTTACTGCATTTCCTAAAATAAATTAATTAGGTACTCTGTACTTAACTGTAAAGGTTCATAAACTTCCCTTACAAAATCGTCAGAATTCTTCAGTTTGTGTCACTGTTAACTTCTAAAAGCCATAATACCTAAATTTGCAATAGTCTATCAAGGCATAGTTCCTACTTAGCAGCTTCAATAGTTAGAGGGACATGCCAAGCAGGATGTCATCTTAATTCCACCTTTTCCCCTGTTTAATGGATTGCACAGAGGAGTGGTGTACAGTTGCTCACACGTGCTATTAACCAATAAGAGAAGACCTTAGATACCTGCAGCACAGCTCACCAATCTTAAGTTTTTGGGATTGTCAGAGAGAGTGGATCATCAGGAGAGGACAGGGGCATTATGGAAGAGTTCTGTTGCTTTCTACATGCAATAATTTATCGATTCATTTGTTAGGAAACATGGCACTGGAAGAAGACAGTCTTGCAGAGTTTTGTTGGAAACATACTGGCATCATGTGTTCCTTTAGGCTCTTCTGTACCGTGGAACCGTACTGAACTTTAAATATAAGTGCACTTGTGATGCAACTATCCTTTTTTTTTTTTTTCCCCTCCCTCTCCTTGAAAATTCTTTGTGAAAACATGACTTTTTGGAGTTCCTTTTCTTTAGATCCATGTGTGACCTTTACAGTTTAGCATTTACCCTAGTGCTACTTCAGGTTTCTGTAGAAATTACTCTGTTAATCTTACTCATAAATGCAGCTGTCATCTCTGTATGGATGACCTTGAAGTCTCTTCTGGAGTTGCTGCCTTCTGTACCAGCTAGATCTCAGTGTGTACTTCTGACTTCTCTTTGTGGATATCTGACCTTTAACTCCGGCTGCTATCGCAAAGGCAGTCCTTCCTTCCTGAAAAGAAAACTCTCAGTGCTGTCACTTGTGGACAGTGTTGTCATGAGATCTTTGGTTTAAGCCCATAATCTAGTCCTTGTTTTAGGCACAGCACACTCCACTCTTCTAGCAGACTGCATACTTCCTTCACTTAGTAAACTGTATTTTGATTGTTACTAGACAATTTGTTATTTATTTGGGTTAATAAATCACATGGCTACATCTCTCACACTACCTTTGATCGTTGCATATTGTGGTATCAGTTTTTTCTTGCAGTCCTGGTAAAAATGATACTGCTCTGTTGATACAGATTCAGAATCCTGAACAAGAGTACTTTCCTTGTCTTCTATGCTTGACTGCCTGGTCTTCTTGCATCTTAAGTTTTATGGTTGTAAAATAACAGGCTA